AGTTTAAAGAATATTGAAGCTGGACAGGTGTGGTAGATCCTAGCACTCTGGGAGGCTAAGGCAGGAAGGTCGTGAGTTTGACCATAACCTAGGCAGTTTAGCAATTTAGTGAGACTCTGTTTCAAAAAGGTTTTTTTTTGTTTTTTTTTTTGTTTTTTTTTTTTGGTACCAGGGATTGAACTTGGGTCCTTGCGCTTGCAAGGCAGGCCACCGTACTACTGAGCTAAATCCCCAGCCCTCAAACAGTTTTGAAGGGCTGGAGTCAATCATTTGTATTGTGTGGGGGGGGGAAATATATTGACAGCTTTAATATAATACATAGTAGTGGATGTTCTTTTGCTAAAAGTAGTCTCAGCTCTTTAGAAGGTTGAAGCAAGTTTGAGTCCTGCATGGGCAATTTAGGAAGGCCCTGTCTCAAACAAACAAACAAACAAACAAAAAACTAAAACTAAAACTAAACTACACTAAAAACAAAAAACCCAGGTGTGGTAGCACATACCTGTAATCAGGCCGAGGCAGGGGGATTGCTGTGAGTTTGAGCCCAACCTGGGCTACATAGTGAGCTCAAAGCTATTCTGAACTACACGGTGAGACCTAGCTTCAAGACAAAGAGCAAAGGCCCAGAGCTGTAGCTGAGCAGTAGAGTGTGTGTCCATCCCCAGCACCACAAAAAAGAAAAGGAAAGAAGGGACAAGAGAATGAGAAGGAGGGAAGGAAAGGAAGGAAAAAGTAATTGGTACAGCTGGCAAAATTGGCATAAGGTAAACATGACAATATTACTTCAGTGCCAATTTCCTGCTTTGATAATTTTTAGGGATTACTAGAAAATATTTAGGGATAAAGGTACCAAGTCTCAGACAAAAATTTCAGAGCCAGGCGTGGTGGCACATGCCTGTAATCCCAGCACTTGGGAGGCTGAGGCAGGAGGATCACTGTGAGTTTGAGACCAGCCTGAGCTACATAGTTCCAAGTCGGTCTCAACTACATAGTGAGACCCTGTCTCAAAAAACAAACAAACAAAAATTTCAGAAAAAATTTAGAATCCATGTACCTGTATGTGAACATAGAATTATTAAACAAATGTGATGAAATGTTAACATTTAAGGAGTCTAGATGGGAATTCTTGGTCCTGTTTTTATGATTTTTCTCAAAGTCTGAAATCATCATAATAAAAAGTAAAAACGGCCCGGGATCTAGGTAGTGGTGCCGCACCTGCCTTGCAAGTGCAAGGTTCTGAGTTTGACCCCTAGTACTGGGGGAAAAAAAAGTGAAAACATACATCTATGTTCATACAGATGGTTCTTTGGTTGCTCCCTATGGCTTTCAGTTTCATTCTAGCTGTAGCTTTGAGTGCCAGGCCTTTGTTGTCAGCTTCCTCGCTCTTCTCTGTCCTTATCTCCTAGCACATCGCTACATAAACCCTTTACTAACTTCATATGTTGTATTGGGGGAGTGTCTCTGAGGATGGAGTCGGGCTCCCCCATAATGACCCTCTGCCTCTCTGGGTCCTTGGACTTCTGGTGAAGAATGAGAAGTGAAGCTCTTAGTGAGAAAATGGAGTGGGGTCAAAACTACTCTAATGTGAAGAAAGTTTATCTAAAGTGTGACAACTGCAACGAAAGCAGAAGAGCTGTCTTAGCTGCAGAGTGGTGCTACAAGATAGGGGGCTTCCCACTGGTGAGTTTGAGGTGTGCTTCATACTTAATAGGGGGAAGCTGTTTTTGTTTTGTTTGGTGAGCTGGTTCTTTTGTTTTTTGTTTTTTTTTTTGAGACAGGGTCTCACTATGTAGTTTCTCGAGCACATGGTACACGATAAGCATGTGATGGCTTTGCAGTATTAGTCATATGTTTTCCCCTAGGGTTTTTTTTTACGTCCTTCTAATTTGCCCCTACAGTTGCTTTATTTTATTTTATTTTATTTTATTTTATTTTATTTTATTTTATTTTATTTATTTAACAGTGGGGATTGAACCCAGGCTTCGCGCTGAGCTGTACCCCAGCCCATTTTTCATTTTATATTTTGAGATGGGGTCTTGCTAAGTTGCCCAGGCTAGGTTGGGCCTAGCAGTCCTCTTACTTCAGCTTCCCAGAGTAGTGGGATTATAGGTGTGAACACCGTGCCTGGCTGCTTTGTGTTATCTATTCTGGAAGCTCCATTCCATGATCCATGTCACTAAATGAGTGGTGCTTAATGAGGGGCAGTTTATTCCTCCTTTTGTCCCTTGGAGGATATTTGCCACTGTCTAGGCAAACATAATAATAAATGTAATTGGTTGTCATGATTGTGGGAAAGCGCTTGTCATCTTAAGGGTAGGAAGGCCAGGGATGCGACTAGACATTCTGCAGTACACAGAACAGCTGCCCAAGCCTGGCATGGTGGCACACACCTGTAATTCCAGCCCTTTGGGAAGCTGAGGCAGATCACAAGTTTGAGCCCAGCCTCGGCATCTGTGACTTAGTGAAATCCTATTTCACTATTAGAATAATAATTTTTTTTGTTTTGTTTTTTGAGACAGGGTCTCACTATGTAGCTGAGACTGAACTGGAACTCACTATGTAGCCCAGGCTGGTCTCGAACTCACAGCAATCCTCCTGCCTCAGCCTCCCGAGTGCTGGGATTACAGGCGTGCACCACCACGACCGGCTAGAATAATAATTTTAAAAGGGAATATATAGCTCATCTTGAGGCCCCTGGATTCAATCCCAAGTGCCACCAAAAAAAAAGCTTCCTAGAACAAACAATTTTCAGGCCAGCAATTTAGCTAGTGGTTCTGGTGCCTCCCTTGCAAGTGCAAGGACCAGAGTTCGATCCCCAGTAAAAAAAAAAAAAAAAAAAAAAAAAAAAATCTAGCCCAAAATGACAATTGTATAGAAGTTGAGAAACTTGTTTAAAGATATCTATCTCCAGATCTAATTCTGGAATTTTTCTCTAAGCATCTGTCTGACTCAACTCTCTGTTCTATGTTCCTCTTTTTTTGAGTCCAGATCTCACTAAATTGTCCAGGCTAGCTTTAACTTATACTCCTGTGCTGCTTCTATATTCCTTATATTTTGTGTTAACCTCCCCATCACTTACATCAAAGGAACTAGGATTTATTAAACTTAACAACATATAGCTGACTCTCAGGAAATGTTTACTGAATTAATATATGTATCCGCCCCCCCCTTGGTACTGGGGATGGAACTCAGGACCTTGTGATTGCAAGGCAGGTGTGGTATCACCAAGCTAAATCCCCAGCCATTAATATATATTTTGAAACAGGGTTTTGCTAAGTTGCTAAATTGCCAAGGTGGGGATGAACTTGTGATTCTCTTGCCTCAACCTCCCTGAATGCTAGCATTACAGATGTATTCCACTATGCCTGGCTTTGTTTCATTCTTGAGACAGGGTCCTCACTATGTAGTTGAAACTGACCTGGAACTCACTATGTAGCCCAGGCTGGTTTTGAACTCACAGGGATCCTCCTGCCTCAGCCTCCCAAGTGCTGGGATTATAGGCATGTGCCACCATGCCCAGTTTTGCTTAGTTCTTGAAAATGAACTCTGCTTACTAAAGGCAGTGATGGTCACCAGGTATCCTGGGTTGTACATCCTGTCAGCTCTGCTACTCTCAAAGATCTCTTAAGAGTTCTAGTAGAAGTCCCAGGTAACACTCACTGCCCACTAGCAGCAAAGGTATTATTCCTAAAGAAAACTGTGATGCTGTTTACAGAAATGAGTGCTTGGCCGGCAAAGTAGTAGGAAACTACGATTCCCGGGCTGCTGGGGATCGCCAGTTAAAACAGTATTTTTTTGTTTTTTTGTACTGGGGATCATACTCAGGACCTTGTGCTTGTGAGGCAGGCATTGTACCATTGAGCTAAGTCCCCAGCCCTTAAAGCAGTGTTTAAACATACCATTGTATTGATTTTTTATTTGAAGGAATTATGCTTGGTGTGCAGTAGATATAGAAATAAATGTGAATTTCTACTGGTAAGGAACTTTTTTTAGGGAGGTAGTAAAGGGGAATGTGAGCCTAGGGATGATCTACCTGATCCGTATCCCCAGCCCTTTTTATTTTTTGAGATGAGGGCTTGCGAAGTCTCCCAGGCTCCTGTCTGGAGCTCAGGCATAGTGGAACACACCTGTAATCCTAGCACTGTGATTCTCATGTCTCTGTCTCCCAGTAGCTGGGATTATGAGTGTGTGCCACTGTGATTGGCTTCTTCTAGAATTTTAAATCAAGAATAGATTGAATGCTGGGTGTGGTGGCTCATACCTCTCATCCCAGCACCCGGGAGTCTGAGGCAGGAGGATTGCAGTGAATTAGTGTGGGGCCACTTTTTCTGAACCACTTGCATTTCCCCAAATCTGTCATGACCTTTCAGTGTGCCTTACCTTCTCTTCTTTTTTGAGTCAGGGTCTCACTTTGTAGCCCAGGGTAGCCTCAAACTTGCAGGAATCCTGCCTCCTGAGTGCTGGGATTTCAAGCATCTACCACCATTCCTGGCTGAGTGTGCTATTTCTTGTGTCTAAACCTCCAAATGCCCTGCACTCTACCATATAGCTGATTCTTGCTTGTCCCACTGAACTTACTTCTGATGACAGTCCTAGAAAACTTCTCAAACCACCCTTCTTCCAGCCTGTGTTGTGTAACCAGTCCCCTGTCCCATAAGTCCTGGTGCCTATTACTTCTCATTTTACATGTATGCTATGTAATGTCTCCCCTCATTATAATTAACTTTATTGAGTCATCTTTATTTTTTCTCCTCCCAAATGACTGGAACATAGTAGACTCAGTACATATTTGTTTTATTTTGTATTATTTTATTTTTTAGCACTGGGGATTGAACTCCGGCCCTTGCATTTGTGAAGTAGGCATCGGAACCACTGAGCCAAATCCCTGGCCCTCAGTAAATATTTTTTAGATCAGTGAATAGATGTTGGCAGTGAACTCATATTTGCTCCATATCTGTAGGTTTTTCTGAACTGGCCATTTCTTCCTCTGTTCCCCCTCCTAGGACCTGGGTTTCAGTGATGAGACATGGGGTATGATGTAACCCGTTTCCAGGGGGATGTTGATGAAGACCTTATCTGCCCTATTTGCAGTGGAGTCTTGGAGGAGCCAGTACAGGTGAGTTGGTCTGCTGGGATTGGAGAGGCAATGTGGCAGCACTGATGGAAAATATCCATGAAGAGTGGGACACATGGGGCCATCCCTGTGTTCTGCTCCCCCTCCCCACCCCAGCAGAGGTCTAGTACAGAGGAGCAGGGGTGGCTACAAAAGAATGGCTTCCAGAGTCTGCCTCAAGCTGGATGCCACAGGTCTCTAGTTCTGAGGCGGCCCTGGGATGTTCTGCTGTGACTTCTTCTGACAGTAGCTTGGCAGCTGCCCTTCCTCTGCAGGAACTCTGACCATGGTCTGTCTTCCTGTTCATGACTGACTTTCTGGACTCCTTTTGATGATGTAGCCCTTCGGGTAATTAGTCAGGTATTAGCCTGCAGCCCTCTCTTACCTGCCTGCTGTCTCATACGTAAGAAGTGTGGAATTGAATTTACTGATCTGTTTTGTTCCTGGGATCTGCTGAAAGAACCAGCACTCTGCATTTTGATAAGAGAGCTGTCATCTTTGCTAGGTCTTTCTCTGGCAGCCTTACCAGACCAGAGTCAGTTGTATCTTTTTCCTGGGGCAGGTTTGAGGAGCAGTCTAGGATTAACAGGCAAGTTCACGGAGTGAGACGAAACCTTCTCAGATGCACTGATAAGACGTCATCCTACATGACCCTCATTGCTCTCATTTCGTAAATACCAACTATTCCTCTTTAACTCTAGGCCAACTGTAGGTAATCCCATTTTCCAAACCAGGGCACCAGTCAGTAAGGTCTCCTTTGCTGCTTATATAACTCCCGGGGCTTCTCCTTGAGCCTTGGGTTTATTTTCTCTGTAGTTTCCAGCCACCCAAAGGAGGACTGATGCTTGAGCTGAAAAAAATTAAGACCACATTCCCATGGTAGCGAAGCCTGGATTTAGCCCCTCCTATCCCTTTGCAGCCTGCTGCCATTAGAGGTATATTGGATGGGTGGGGCAAGTTATCATGGCAGTGGCAGGGTCACAGGTGTGTCGGGTTTTCTCCCTGCCCTGGCAGGGCTTTGTTTTCTGGTACTGTCATTTGAGACAAGTCATTGTGGAGAAGTGAGTGGTATTTGGTAACAGCTTAAGTCAGAAGCGACCCATCCACCTCCAATGTTTTCCTCCTGAGGGCAGGCATCCTTTTTGATAGTAGGCATATTCCCAGGGGTAGAAGAGCCCCACTAGAGATGCTGATTTCCCCATTCCATATTTGTCTCTCTTTTTTTTTTTTTCTTCTTTTTTATTGAGGTTAGTGGTACAATCTAGGTATACAAATACAGTTACATTCATCATTGGGATTCTGTACCTTTACATAATAGGACTTGATTCTCATTTTTCCCCTTGTCCCTGCCCTCCCTCTACA